GGGGGGGGGGGGGGGGGGGGGGGGGAAGGCGACTATACCTTGCATGACTGTGACACATAGGAAAGCATTTTTTCCCCTGGTTTTACTTGCAGCACAGGAAAGTCGTATTTGAAAGGATTTGGGACCCTAAAAAGGGGGGGGGGACGGCAGTTGGTTGTTTTTGTTTTTGTTTTGTTTTTTGCAAATTTCTGGACTGTAGGTTTCTGGATTTTATAGCTGGGATTTCCTCTTTTACTGCTTGCTATATTTGACTGGAGAGAGCGTCTCAAAAGGAAAGAGGACATCTAAAGAAAAGACACATTTTAAAGTGCTTTGTGGATAGCTGTCTTGATTTGATTTGATTTGGAGTCCAAAAATGGAAGGAGATAGCAATAGCTTATGAGGGGGAAAAAACACTGCCATCAAAATGAGGAGCCATCAATCAGAGGAAAGACTCTGCTCTTGTGTCTCCAATTGTGAAAATGATTTTAAATAAGAGCCTCTTCTGAAGCTATTAAAAATAATCCATATGTATCAATCCATATCAGGAGAAAAGAAACCATAGATAGATACTCCAGTTTCTATCTGGATGGGAGACAAGTAGCAATAGCCATAGCACTTAGACTTATATGCCACTTCACAATGCTTCACAAGTCTCTAAGCGCTTTACAGAGTCAGCCTATGGCCCCCAACAATCTGGGTCCTCATTTTGCTGACCTCGGAAGGATGGAAGGCTGAGTCAACCTTGAGCCGGTCAGGATTGAACCCCTGGCAGTGGGCAGAAGAGTTAGCCTTCGCTATTGCGTCACCATGGATGATTAGGCTGTGATTGGCTGGTGTAAGGCCACCTGTCTTATCTGCACAATAGAGGAATACACTTGATATATGGCTTTCTTGAGCTCTCTCTGCATGAATTTCAACACCCTTTCTATGATTTGATGAGAGGCAGTTTGGGTCTAGGGGTTAAGACCACCGGGATTGAAAGCTAGAGACTGAAGTTCAAGTCCCGCCTTAGCTGTGAAAGCCAGCTGGGTAACTGAGGGCCAGTCACTCACAGACCAACCCATCTCACAGGGTGGCAGTTGTGGGGAAAATAGGAGAAGGAAGGTACGTTGAATATGTTCACCACCTGAAGTTATTTGTAAAAATAGTAAAGGCAGGATGCATGTAAGTAAATAAAAAAATAAATTTGGGGGCGGGGAGGCCATTTGAACTGGGGTGCTTAGCTTCTGTCAAGAGGGATCAGTTTTGTACTGATTACACCAGTTCCCTTTCCATTGGTAAATTCATGGGAATTCTTAAGCTAAAAGATTCAATTGCAATATTTTAACTCTTCCTAGTGCTGAGATGAGCCAAAGGTGAAACAAGATCTTTGAGACAGAGAAAATTGACAATAGATCATGTACCTCTTACTGACATAGACTCTTAGAAATGGTATATGCCTTGAAAAGAGGGTCGCGGTGGCTCAGTGGCTAAGACGCTGAGCCTGTCAATCAGAAAGGTTGGCAGTTCGGCGGTTCGAATACCTAGTGCTGCGTAACGGAGTGAGCTCCTGTTACTTGTCCCAGCTTCTGCCAACCTAGCAGTTCAAAAGTACGTAAAAATGCAAGTAGAAAAATAGGAAACACNAACAGTCTAGGCACAAAAATGGAAAGATACTGTTCTGACCGAGGCTTCCCAAGGGCATGAAGCAAACTCCTGGTCCCGACAAAACCCTCTTTTATCAATTGACTGTGAATTCTGCTCATTCACATCTAGCAAAGTCTTTCAAGGGAGGATCTTTCAAGGGAGGATTTACAGTCACAGACCTCATCTGGCTTGGAGAACTGCCAGGCCAATCTCTGCAAAACTTGGCAAGGAGTCTCGAGAGTCACGAGCCAATTAAGCAAATTAATGGTCTCCTGCAAACATCCGACTGGATGGTGGGAAATGGAAAGATTTATATTCTTTGCAGGCAGCTGATCATTTGCATCCTTTTAGAGGGTCTTTGAGACCACTTGGAGGTTTATCTGTGTCCTCAAGTTCACCTGAGTGGTGCAAATGGTTCCTGTAGTCTAAATTCTTCCATTCCCCACTATCCTGTCAGAACGGAAGAAGCTTCTTGGATGAGAAGCGAAACATCTTCAAAAGAAAAAACAAGGAAGTCCAATTGTCACCTGAAAAAGCACCATTGGGACATCCAGTTACAAGTCTCCCTGTTCATATCAAAATCCAAATCCCAACAAATTTCTCCTCCATTCTTTTCACCACAACCTCACCGCAATTCTTCTTGCAAGACACCGAACAGCTGAGCCTGCTGAATCATCCAACTTGACTCACAGATATTTATAATATGCATGTAATTTTCACAGCAACGCACATGAAGAGGATTTGATTGCAAAAGCCCATTCCAACTGGCCAACCGTTGCCTAAAGTAGAAAATCAGTCGAGTCCCAGGTGCAGTGGGACATTGTGGTTTTAAAACCACCCATTCTTAGCAATAAATAAATTTGCTCCTTCGTACTCCTTCCAAATCTGGCCCCAACTCATGCAAAACTGCATCTGTTTCCAAATGGAATGCAGGATCAGAAAACGCAGCAGCCCGTGGTATACAGAGTTGGAAGAGACCTTGTAGGTCATCTAGTCCAACCCCCTGCCCAAGCAGGAGACCCTACACCAATTCTGACAGATGGCAGTCCAGTCTCTTCTTAAAAGCCTCCAGTGATGAAGCTCCCACAACTTCTGAAGGCAACTTCTGTTCCTTTGGTTGATTGCTCTCACTGTCAGGAAATTCCTCATTTCTAGGTTGAATCTCTCCTTGATAGTTTCCATCCATTATTCCTTGTCGGGCCTTCTGGTGTTTTGGAGAATAGCTTGACCTCCTCTGTGGCAGCCCCTCAAATATTGGAAGATGCTATCATGTCTCCCCTGGTCCTTCTCTTCACTAGACCAGCCATGCTCAGTTCCTGCAACCGTTCTTCATATGTTTTAGCCTCC